AGCGCCACTGGGCTTTGACTACTTTTACTGTATTGAAGGTATCCTCTGGGGTAAGAGGTGAGACCTCTCCCAATGCAAGTATAAACCCTGTCCCTGGCAGGGATCGTCTGTCCCAACAGAACACCCATAACAGCTTGAGCACGACGGAAAGGAAACAGAGTTTCTGGTAAACCTGCAGGAAGCCGGGTTTCATGAGACCCCACCCAGAAGACGAGGAGCAGCAGTTTAAAACATGGCCCTAGAACTCTTTCAAACAGCTCAGTTCAACTCACCCCAGCAGGCAAGGACTCACTGGTCTGCATCCACGTACATCCCTTAACTCAGTGTTGTGACTCCTTCAACCTACAGTGTACGGCGTAGGCGAACTTAGGTGACTTCTGGGGGGTCATGGAGGCCGTACAGCTTCTACTTTGTTTTCTGGACACTCACACTAGGAACCCTGGGTTACCACGTCGGGAGTCCTGCCCTTCCGAGGCCACCGTCTCTGAAGAAGCTAAGCCACACGAAGAGGCCAAGGAAAGCTGTCTGCCCCAGGCCAGCACGACCCTTTAGGTAACCCGGCCCCTGCTGGGAGTGTGCCCAGCTGAGACGGGTGCAGATGTTGTGGAGCAAATTGGATCATCTCCCTGCCCTCCATAGACTCCATGAGCATGATGAAAATAACTGTTTTAAGCTGCTAAATTTGGGGGTATTCTACAACAACACTAATAGCCGAAACAAAAAATATACAGGCTTTGTCCCTGCAGGTCCTCCAGGGCCTCCCACTCCCCCGCTTTCCAAGTCAGCGTCCTTGTTGTCCCCATGGTGCTGCCTTTGTGCCCACGAGCCCAGTGGGTCGGCCCAGGCCTCCTTTTATCACTGTTGCATTCACTCGTTCAAAATTCAGAGTCACCGTCCAAACTGCAGGAGCCGGGATCTAACTGCCACTACACACGGTGGGTGTTCGCAGCATCTGGGCCACACGGGTGGCTGAGCCTGTGCACACATTCCCCAGGTGTGGGCCGCCCTCACCTGCTGCTCTCACTTTCACAGCACCATCCCGGGACCACAGCCTTTCCTCAGTTACACGTGCATGATCATCTCACCCGCCGAAATGTCAGCTCTGCGAGGTCAGTGTCCCTGTCCGTCTGGCCATCCACCAGATCCTAAGCAACTAAAACAGCTGCTGGAGTGTGGGAGCCATTCAGGAATTTTTATGCATCTTAGAAAAACCTACAGGTTTTCAAATGTACAAGGTGAAAGTAGCAAAAGCCCACCTTCCACCTCCACAGTGTGAGCTTGGTGCGGGCCAAGGTGGGAGCTGGTGGGACAGGACCACCGGGTCTGATGTCACGCCTCCCCGAGGCACATGTCCAGGTCCCCGCAGCCCATCAAGTTTACTGTGACTTTGCAGTGATGTATTGCTTTAAACTCATTTTCCTTTTTGTTTGCTAGTATGGGAGGCACTACACTTTATAAATAAGATGATTTTTTAAAAGTTATCCAAAGACCTAGCTACCTTCCCATCACTGAGGAATTAGTGATCCAGTTGGCTCGTCTCCTCTTTCCCCGTGGCTGCTGATGGCCACCACAGTGCCAGTGTGAGCGGGCGGCCGCTGTGGAACAGCCCTCCACTCCCACCTCTCTGTTCTCTGGGGGCAGGGGGGGGGTACAATGTGTGGATGTGAGAACCAGGGATGCCCGGGCCTTCTTTGATTCAGGAATGTGACTCATATATTGTTGGGGAGAGAAAGCAGTAGAATCCCTACAGGGGAACAAGTGGCCCCAGAGAAAAACAAAGGCAAAAAGACAAAAAGACAAATGCATATTGCTGCAGTATTTTTAATATGAAAGGATTGGAAACAACCCAAATGTCAATCAGTGGTGACTGGTTAGATAAACACCGGTACGTCCTTTTAACAGAACCATTTGTAGAAGAATGTTCTGTCTGAATCTGTGGAGTGATGTCCAATATATCATTAAGGAAGAAATACAAGATTGAGAAAAGTATAAACTAGTAAGCTATCCCTTACCATTTGTTTATATCTTTTAAATGAAAGGGCAAATGGAAAAAAGATCAATTATCTACGGCAGAACAAGGTAATGAGGTGGAGGGAACCCAGAATACGGACTCTCTGAATACAGTTCATTTTGTGAATTTGGCTTTGGAACCATGTAAATAGTTTGCCTAATTATTTAAAAAAATAAAATAAAAAGCAGTCTCTAAGAATTTAAAGCAACACCAAGTGACTAACCCTAACCGTAATTCTAGTTCAGGGTAAAACCACCGGGGGAGGAACCGTTCCGAGTTACTTTAAAATAGTAATCTGTACATCCCTGAGGGCATGGACCCTAAGGGCGTAAGGACGGCAGGAGAAAACTGTAACTGTTTTCAGTAATTACTTTTCTGATGATTTTGGCGTTGTTCTTCTGAGGATTTAAGACAACGTGTAATTATTTTGGTGGTTTTGAGAAGGCGGTTTTCCAAATGAGAGAAAGAGCAGCAGGTTTACGGTCAATGAGGTTATATTAAACACCCTGCACTTCTGAGTTGAATTCGAAATACCAATATAAACTCATGTGGTGCTTTTTCCTTAAAAAAAACAACAACAAAAGCTAAGAGTACATATTTCCTAGTTCCTAGTACTGAAACCAAGAAACAAAGACCAAACCACTACCACACAGCACTGCTAGCACCTTGATTTTATCTACAATTATCACTCTCCACCGAAAGGAACCAGGGTCCCTGGGGAAGTGGAGGACTTCACCCGCTGGGGCACAGAACACACAGGATGACTATGAAACCAGCAAAGACCCCCAGGGTCATGTCAAAAGGAATCAGCCAACTTGAAGCAGTTTCTGAGGGCCAAAGAGAGCACAATTTGAGCAACAGGAAGAACAGTGACTGCAATGGATTGAAACATACATCCACTGTGTTTTAACCATGCGTTCATCATGGACTCGGCAAACAAAACAACTGTATCCACCCTGGACCTCACAAAGGAGTGGAAGTCAAGGATTTACGCTGCCCTTCCTATTCACATCAAAGCTCAATAAAACGGACTAATTGGTGAAAAGAGGTTTCTCTTTACGAAGTGTGCCAGCTAAAAAACAAAAAAGAAACAACAGCACTAGAATATTATTTGCAACCCCTAAAGGAGTCATAGGTTCTGTCAATACACATCACAGGCTGCTAACATCAGAGAAGCCGAGTCCACAAGAGATTCTATGGCTCTCACTAGAAGCACCAATTACCACCAAGGAGGTAGTCTTGCAAAACTAAACCTAACTGGCCCCTGGTTAAGTCTCTAGATATAAATGTTGATATGTGAGAAATAGGACAGAGGAACATGTCAAAAGACTTAACAGAGAAGCACTCAGGAAAACCCAGACTGTGAGAAATTCTATAGGACAAATGACCCGGTACTGTCTTCCAACAAGCCTCCGGGTTCTACAAACATAACTAAGATGTGAGATCCACTGTACAGATCACAGGAGACTTAAGAGGCATATCAACACATTGCAAATCGTGGACCCAATTCGAACAAACAAACAGACTGACAGGACAAATATTTGGAGGTATTAAGGTATCACTAATTTTTTAGGTATGATTGGTATCGAGGTTGTACTTTTTGAAAGTATTTGTGGTTTAGAGAAACATGCTTAAAATATGTACAGATGAAATGATATGACTGATGGCCAGGATGTGCTTTAAAATTGTTACAGGTGGGGTGAGAACACAGATGGAACAAGACTGGCCGTGTGTTAATCACTGAGGCTGGTAATTAAGACATGAGCTCCTTACACTAGTCTCTCTACTTTCGAATGTGTTTGCAACTGTGCATGATACAAAAGCTTTAAAACCCCGCTGCCAAACGTAATGAAACTATGTCTCTTGGACCTGGGTGAAAATGAATAGCTGTAACTGTTAGAGACTCTGAGCTGACACAGGTTGGAGCTATAAAAGGACAAAGGAGAGTTCTTTTCCACAGGGAAATGAGGTGAGAGAGAAGAGAGAACACACGATTACCCAAGGAGAAGGCCCAGGCATGAGCCGTAGGTGGGGCCCAGGCACCCGCATTCCACGTGGTGCTGTGATGATGAACCTCAGTGACGCAAACCCCTGCTTTAGACTGGGCCTGTGGGGCATCCAAGGCATCGTACACCAGTGCAGGTGGGACACCTGATCTGGGGGCTTCTACACGCCTCACCTGGGAGGTGAGAGGCTCGTGTCTGGGAGCCACCCCTGCCCCCAGCACGGAGGACGAGCACGCCACTGTGCGTCTTCCTGCCCAAAACGTGGCCAGGCCCTTGGACTCTCCCGCCTGCTGCTCTGCCTGGGGGACCGGGTGGCCTGCAGGCTTCTGATCTGTCACCGCAGCATTTGGAAACACATGTCTGTGGCCAACGATTTTAATAGTCTTGCAGCAAGCTAGACAAGCAGATTTTCAAGCCCTGGTTCTGTTGTTGGAGAGATGGCAGCTAAGCCCATGGGAGAAGGAGAAAAACATCAAAGACAACTTTTGAGTGCGTCTCACTCTTCGTCTGACAAAGTAAGACAAGGACACTGCCCCAGAAACATCCTGATGTGGGCTTGACCACCCACCTGGCAACGCACGCCCTCTGGCTCCAGGTCATACCAAGGCAAATACAAAGAGTCTTAAAATAACACATCTGAGGTGAAATCTCACCTAGATTAACATGTATTTGGACACTGAAACTTCCCCAAACCTCAGCCAACTTCTGAATTTTAACCTGAATGCTGTCCCCCACCTCACCCCACCTGGACCCGCCCCATGCCCAGCCCTAGCTGGTCTGGAGGGCATCTCCCCTGGTTCATCCGTCAGAAGTAAAATGCCTGGGGTCAAGGGCAATTCAAGCATCTTCTTAAACTCCTCGCAGCCAGGAGATGTCTTACCAGTCTTCCATTTGGTCAGGCCAGACTTCCACTGGGTGGGGGGGGGGCAATCCCACGTTCACCTGTGTTCCTTCTTAGTCATTTATCTTAGTGGGTGCAGCCCAGACAAGAAGAGAGCTAGGCGTCCCCTCCCACGAGGAACAGGCCAGCTCATGTTCAGGGACAGGCAAGGTGGTCGGGGAGAAGCGATAAGCTTTATTAACTCAGTTAGAATACCAGGTTATGTTTTGAGATAGGATTTTTTAAAAAGAATTAATTCAGAATCTATTCTTTAATGTTGGTATCTTGTTCTGGAAGCGTCTGTGTGGGGGGGCCAGGCCCTGCACCCCTCTCTGGCTGGCAAGCATGTCACGGAGGGGACACAGATCAGAGCAGAACCCTGGGCATGGCCCAGGACCCACCCCAGTGCCATGTACACAGGGCACGGAGTGACGCTCAGCACGCCTGCGATGACACAGGGCTGACAAGCCCCTCAGACACACACCTCAAGCCTCCCCTCTCCCGCCAATTCAAACTCACGGGCATTCACACAGCACTTGCAAAAGCTGCCCATTCCCCTGGAAAAGACACTTCAAAAAGTTAGTACATAATTGAAGGAAACAACTTTAAAGCAGAAAACAGAAGTGACGGCAGCAGCCCGGGTGTTGTGACTGCCCTTCTGTGCGCTGTGGCCAGACTGCACCGCTGCGCTAGACGCCTGCGTGAACGAGCAGCTGCACAGACGGGTGGGGCGGGGGTGTCCCACAGTCAGCGCCCAGGGCCGAGCCTTGGCTGGAGAGACAGGAGCCCCGATCTCCACACTCCGCACTCATGCACCCTTAGAAGTCATATGGGGACACAAAGATGGTGACCTTGGACACGTGGTTGGCCTGGAAGGAGCGGTCCAGGTATTCCGACATGTCAACGTCCACCTCGAGTGTCTGTGGCCCCTCCAGGGTCTGGACAAGGATCAGCTCCCCCGTCTGGCGATCCGCTCGCTGCATCACGAAGTGGCCTCGGCTGTTCCCACCCACGATGCCGAACCGAAGGCTGTTGGGTCCAGGTCGGCCGGGCACGGAGGCCATGGCCATGCGGAAGAGCGTGATGGGCGTTGTCAGGTTGGAGGGCAGAGACAGGTAGTGGAAGGAGATGGTCTTGGGCAGGTGGCGGCAGGGTCTGCTGTCCATGGGGCAGGGGTTTCGCTCACACTGACTGGGTCAGGGGGGCAAGATATGGGCAGTCAGCCTTGGGGAGGTGCAGAGGGGCTGCCCTGACCTGGCTTGTCCTTGCTTGCCCTCTTACGGGGGCCACCGGAGTGACCTTTCCCAGCCACTGGTCCCTCAGCACAGGTGCCCAGAGCTACAGGCAAGTGAGTGTGGCTGGTGTGAAGGTGGCCAAGGAAGAAGCATTCCCCCAACCCACATGTGTATGTATTTGCATGTTCCTGTGTGAGTGTGCGCATGTGCTATCACTATAGCTTTTACAGAAGAATAATGCCATGGAAGGTTAAACAGCATTGGCAACGCTGGTATTCAACCAGGCACCTGCTGCCTGCAACTGCTGAGGCCTCTAGCAGGCAACTGGCAACATCCTGGATTGCAGCGCTCCACAGGTGCTGAACGCCCGTCCGCCTTAACCATCCGGGTCAGAGTCATGAGGAAGGGCTTCCGACATTTCCCATACAAACGCTGCTGCAGATAAGCTAACTTGGTGAGTCACATCATGGTAATCAATGCAGGTTGAGTATCACACCTGGCTATTAATCAGAATGTCCCCAAGGCTATAACATGTAGGCCCCTCTGTCCCTTCACTCAGTGGCTCCTGAGGTCTTCCCTCTCACCAACAGCTGCCACTCTCAGGGCCTGCTCTTCTCACTGCTCCCACTCTGCTGTGGCCGCCCCCACCCCGAATCAGTCACGTGTCTGAGCTCGGGAAGTCGTTCATTCTAAAGACAATGCTAGAGCTCCTGTGATCTTTCTCAGAAGGAACTGAATGTACTTTGTCAGAGTTGTAGTTTTTCTCCCTTAAAAGCCTGTCTCTCACCGTTTGAAAAGAAAGAGCTCTATTAAGTGCTGAGGTTCCTAGAAGCTGAACCTTCTAGCACCGGTGGAGAAGCCGGGTGATACAATGTTACAAAGTATGCAGTGTGTGCTATGTGAGCTGGGGAAGGCGATCCTCCAGCGGTCTTCCCTCCCTGGAGTGCAGCACTGGGGGGCTAAGTGCCACCATCCCCCTGGAAAGTTACTCCTGTCGGACAAACTGGGTCTTGATTGCACAAAACAGGGAGGCAGGTCACGTCACCACTAAAGGGAATGAGGGACTCAAGAGAACCCAGACTCTCAGCTCCCTGCCTTTCCTCTTTCCTCGGATGTAAACGCACCTTCTCGCACGAACCTTTGGAAAATGAAGCCCGCCACCCTGCGATACTTACAAGGGAGACGTCTTCACGTAGCTCACGTTGCCGCTGCTCTCGGGGCACTCGGGACTGACGCACTGGAAGCCTCCCCCAGTGTTGATGCACGTGGTTCCCCGGGGACACAGGTGCTGTGGGCTCACACACTCGTCAACGTCTGAAATATGGGCACCCAGTGAGGGTGAAGTCCTCCGACGTCCCCTCCGTCACTGACGAGGCCACCGGAATGTGGGTCCCACACGTGGTGAGCTTTCCCAGCATTCACACTGTTTCTCAGAGTGGGGAGCTCTCCCCCCCAGGATCCTGTCCTCTCTCCGGGGAGTGAGAGCTCACGGACGGGCTGGGCAGCACAGAGCAGTGTTCCCGCCAGACCCGCCTCCTCCTCAGTCTCCTCTCCATGGCTGGTATCGTGCCCTTAATGATCAAATTACTAAAGCTTCTTACTCAGCCTCACCCCATGCCCAGTGCAGATGGTGTCACTCTCTTTTGTATGAGTTCTCTGCTCCCTTCACAGGTGAGTTTCCCCGCTGCAGGATGGTCAGATGGACGGATAAGGGTTGCGTGGATGGATGGATTAAAGGGCGGGTGGGTGATGATGGATGATGATGGGTGGATTGGTGTATGAACAGATGACTGCATGGGTGGATGGGTAGATAGATGAATGGATGATGACGGGCGGATGGAAAAGACGAGTGGGTGGATGGACAGATATACAAACAAACTGATGAGAAAGATGGAATAATAGATGTATGGATGGATGATGGCTATCTGGATACCTTCTCCTGCTCCAATCCCAAGCTACCGATTCCTCTGAGTCCTGCAGTGGAACCTCAGTAGGGTGTCCCTGGAGAGCTGCCTCCTATCCTCCCACAGTCTGCAGAGGAGCCCTCGCCCCTCTCCCCCTTCCGTTCCTCCATCAGCTCAAAGCTCTCTTCTGTGTCCTGTCTCCATGGGTGACAGTGGGGGACGGAGGTCTGTCCCTCCCCTAATGTGAGCCAGGCCTGGGGTAGCAGACCCAGATTTCCAAAGCCCAGAGACCCTGTATGTCATTGGGGTTCCAGAGCAGAGACCCTGGGTGACCACGCTAGGACACAGTGACTATAAGGTACGTCCCTTTCAGAGGCTGATGTGGGCCTGCACAGCTGCGGAGAAGATGTGCTATGCCAGGAGCCTCATGCCCCCTCCAACTGTGGGACATGGGGACCAACTGGCTGCTCTTCCTTTGGGTCCAACCCTGGCTGAAAGCATTGCTAAGTGGGAGGACATGACCTGACCCTGAAAACAGTTACTTGCATAAGGTTGAAAGAGGCTATTTGCCAGGATGGTTAAGTAACTCTCTTCCCTATATATGTCAATGAAAATGTAGCCTGATTTGGAAGGTCCCTTAGTTGGTGGTTTTTTAAAGATTGAATATAGCTGAGGCTTGGACTCCCTAACACCCACTGCATCCCTATTCTGAAGTCCTGGCAGGTGACGGGAGCGGCAAGTGACCAGGTGCGGAGAGCCCCTCTTCAGCCCTGCAGCACCTGCCTCTGGTGCAGGGCCACTCACCCTCACAGCTCTTCCGGTCAGGCAGGGTCCGGTACCCGCTGGGGCAAGCACAGCGGTAGGAGCCGGGCGTGTTCACGCAGGTGTGCATGCAGAGCCGGGGGCGTCCCTCCTGCCCATAGAGCTCACACTCATTCACATCTAGAAACAGAAGTGCCTGGTATGACTCTGGAAGCCATGCAGCGAGCCCTGTCCCCAGTGGAGCATGGGAAGGACGGCAGGCACATTCCCATTCTCCTGAGCCGAGGGCCCAGAGGGATAGGGAGGAGCGAGGGAGTGAACCAGGCAGGTGAAAAAGGGAAGGGAGACCCCACAGAGGCTGGCCTAGCACCAGGCAGCCCAGAGAGCCAGCCCACTGCAACCCCAGACTGCCGGCCTGGTCCGTGTCCCCATCTTTGGGAATGGAGTGAGAGGGTCTGGTTTGTGCTGCTGTAAAATGAGACCAGGTCTCATTCAGGCCTGGACTGCTCGTCTGAGTGGTTTTCAGAAGGAGCTTTGGTGATCAGGGTGGTTACTAGAAGTGTCCCTGCCGGTAAAACTAAGCCCAGAAGGGGCAGGCATGAGCCCCAGGCACCTGCCCAGCTCAGCAGTCTACCAGGGCTGCCCCCACCCCTGTGGACTCCAGCCAGGGTGCAGAGAGGAGGAGCAGCTCAGGGCTCTGTCAGACGGGTGCGCAGGGCTTGGATGGAGGCCCCTCCGGGCTCTAACTGGGAGTGAGCCTGGGACCCTCTGGCTACTTTCTCATGACTCCCCCTCCCACAACATCTAGGTGTTAGCTCCATCTGAGTGACTATCTTAGCAGACACTAGGTCAGCAATGACCTTAAACCACAGTGGGGAGGCTCGTTGAGACCACACTTCTTCTTTGTGCCCTGGGTGAGGGTTGAGTGCACCTGGGAGGAAGGCGGTAATAACCCCCCCTTCCCTCCTGGGTTCCCGTACTGTGCCCTTCCCTGGCGGTAGAAGCCCCTATGTGACCCCCCCCCCCTGCTCCGTGTCCCCTCCCCTTCTGCCTGCCTACCTACCCTGGCAGACGCTGTCGCCGCCCGCTGCGCGGCTCAGCTGGAAACCGGCCTCGCAGCTGCAGTGCCTAGTCCTTTCCACCTGCGCGCAGCGGGGCGCCCGGCTGAAGGCGGGGTCGTCCGCCAATCGCTCTGGGGCGGCTGCGGGGAGAAGTCACGTCAGGGCCGACCCCTCCAGCCGGCTGGACCTGGAGAAGGGTCAGGGAGCCAGATCGGTAGCCCCTCTGAGCTTAATCTAAAGGCGGGGGAACAAGGACTGTGATTCACCAAAATCACCGTGGGGCGCGCGGCACAACTGGCAGACGCACGCTGCCCTCGGGCCGCAGGGCGGTGAAACCTGAGTCTTCGTTCGGAAAAGCTTGCCACACAGCCATCACTGCAGTTCAAACACCACTTTGGGGGGGGGGGGTCTTTAGTGTTGTACTCTTTTCACTTTTCTAAAGTGTCTAAGCTTTTTTTTTTTTTTTTTTAACCAAGAACAGAAATCAATTTTCTAACAAAAAAAATGTGTTAGTTTTAAAAGAATTTTGAGCTCTCACGTGGTTAGGGTAGATGCAGAGGGTAAAGGTGAGAGGATGCACAAGCAGACGTGCTGCAGGATCTCACTTGACTGGTCCCTGGAGGAGCCCCATTCAAAGACTACGCAGAAGCGTTATCAGGGGAGGGGAATGGCCACCGAGTTCCAGATTTGCGACTCAACAAAAGCTCTGGAGATGGATGGTTGTGCAACAATGTTCATGCACTTCCGGCCACCAGACCGCACACTTAAAATGGTTAATTGGTCAATTGTATGTTTTTTATATTTTACCACTATAGAAAAAATGGTGACTGAATTGAAGAAAAGGCACCAGAAGAAAGGCTTTCCCCAATGAGCTCACAAGTCAGGCGAGCCAGCAGCCCAGCGCCTGCTGGGAGGTCCATGGGTTCTGTGAGGCGGGAGCTGGCTTTGCCCCTCCTCTTCCCAGTGAGATACTTTATACGTAAGGTGCCCCTGGGTCCGAGGAACAACTGCCTAAGGGTCTGTCAGTGCCCAGCACCAGCACATCTGGGTCGAAAGGGGACCCATTTCTTTTTCTGTCCTGCTTGCAAGTTGTGGAGGCAGCAGTGCCTGCCTCCCACCTCAGTTTACCCAGAGAGCAGCCCCCACCCCTGCGGCCCCCTCCCTGGGCACAGGCGCTAGAGGGGCCTCTGGGCTCCCGGGAGAGCAGCCTCATCCTCAGAAAACTCCCAGCAGGCTGAACAGAATCAAGATTCATAAAGCAGCAAGTCTCTGGGGCAACACATAAAGGCGACCTTGGGCAGGTCCACAAGGACAGCAAGTATTGACAAAGCTCCTTCCTACTCTCCAGACACTACACTAGCCACCTGTTCCTCCCCATACTGAGATGCCACACAAAAATCAGGGGACATGCCCAGGTTTGGGGGCAAAGGAACAGGACATTTAGGATCTGACCTTTTTATATAGGACATTTTGGTTGCACCACGGTGTGGGAACCCGCATCTACCCTATAGACTCCGTACTGGATTGTCCTGTCCTCTGCACAGCTGCCACCGTGTGTCTTCCAGACCTTCTGGCTGGAGGGTATGTGGGGCCTCCGTGTGGACGACCTCACCACCGGTCAGATGACAGTCCCACAGCTCTAAAGACACCCAGCTTCTAACAGTAATTACGAACTTCGAGAATGTGATGGGAGCGTTGGGAAGGAGAAGCCACTCTGCTGGTCTGGTCTGCACAGGAAAAACTGGCCAGGGAAGGTGGCAGCAGGGAAACATCTCAGGTCCGACTCCAATCTGGGGAGTTTTCAGGTTGTGAGTCAGTCCTTCCATTAGAATTTTCTTCCATGAAAAGGATAAAAATTCTGGGTTCACAAAAGAGCCAACCTCCATCCCCAGTAACCGCCTCCGGGAACCAGAGAGATCAGTGGGTGTGACGTGGGGAGGAAGAGCCCACTCGCTGAGCTGCCTGCATCTGGTGACCCTTGACCACAGCCCCCCGCAGTGGACGTCCTCGCCCAGCCCCGTACAGCTACGCACCCGTCTGGGCCGGGTGCTGACAGCGGCTCCCGGTCCTTCCCGCAGGACAAAGGCACGTGTACTGGTTGACTCCTTCTAAACACGTCCCACCATTTTGACAAGGCTGGCTGGAGCATTCGCTGATATCTAGGAACAGAAATAATTTTCAAACAAGAGTGTGTGTGTTCTGCCTCTAAATCAAAGATGGCTGGACTTTCTTTATGTAGCCGTTTGACTCCCCTCTCTGCCCATCGCACTGCCCCCAGTGCAGAAGCTGAGCTGCAGCCCACCCTCCACCCAGCAAGCCACGTGCCCAGCCAACCTGAAGCTCTGCCGCCGGGAGCGGCCCATCATCTGCCCCGTCAGTCGGCACCCAGATAGAACCCTTCAGGCAGGGACTCAGGCCAGAGGAGTTTTTTTGGGGGTGGCCCATGGAGTGTACAGAGATGGGGAAATGCACTCTTTCCAGTCCCTCCGAGCGGCCCTCCTAAGGGACCAGAAAGTTCTCCTGACCCTGGGCCTCTCCTTACAGGTGGAAAAGGAAACTATTCCTTGCTTATCTATACAACAGTCCTGTGGAAAAGCTATATATATAGAGAGAGATATATTTAAAAGTTTAATAGGTTTTTCTCTGTGTGGTACTTTTTCTTATTCATGCTTTTTTGTCCTCTTGCATTTTTCCATAGTGGACATTTATAAACTTTCTAACTAAGAAAACAATGATCTTTTGAAACCCTCAGGCCCCGTCCGAATTTCGTGAATTCCTTAAGCCCAGCTTTGGTGGCGGCATATTCCGGCACCTGGGGCAGGTCTGTGGGCTCACCGAGCGGACCGCGGCACCCTGGGGACGAGTCAGAAACTCATCCCGGTTGGTACCAGAGCATCCCTGCCTGCCGTGTCCACGGAGAGGAAGGAAAAGTGTTTGCTCCTGATGAGAACAGCAGCAAACGCCAGTCATGTGTCCAGTCAGCCTCCTCGTGACTGGGGTGTCATGGAGACTGGGACACCGTTTGCATGCTTCATAGAAGGACCCAGACCATGAGATCCTGCTTGTCCTGGGAGGGGCCATCTCAACTTCTCAGAAACACTGGCCTGGCTGTGCTGCCCCTGCAGGCTCTGTGTTCAGATCACCCGACTCCAGGAACGTGACTGGAACTGCACCGCACACAAAGCCACAGGGCTCAGAGCTCCCGTTTCCACCCCGTTGTCCAGCCCGTCCTTTCTCACGGGCAAAGTCTGCAAGCAGCAGACGAGGCCATGAGGTTGTGGGCGCAAAGCCAGGGTGTGAACACTGGTGTCTTTCAGTCCGGCCCCAGCGGGGCCAGCGCCATGGTCTGTCTCTGGCCTGGCCTCCAGCAGCAGCACGGAGCCAGCTGCACCTGGACAATGGGGTGCAGGTGGGGTGGGGGCTGTGCCCAGGTGTCCCAGGCCCCGCGCACCACCCCCTCCTCAGAGTCTCTTGGCCCAGGGTCACATTTCTAGACCCGGCCACACAGACTCTTTCTTATCTTCATCCGAGCCTGGAGGTGAGCCATGGCCCCGGGGCCCAGTCCCGGTGCCCGAGGTGTCCTGACTGAAGTGCAGCTGTCACCACGTCCTGTCTGTCTCAGGCAGTGGCACTTAGTTATGAGCGTGGTGGCTTCAGAGCTACAAAGAAGGAGCCTCGGAGAGGCTGGGGGACGAAAGCCCAGCAACTGCTCTGTGGACGCGCTTGCTGCACAGCGAGCACTTACTGTGGCCCTGGAACCGGGCTCAGGGGTTCCACATGCATGATCCGATGTCTTGTCCCTTTACTTCCAGTTCTTCCCTGCATTTCTGTCATCTAGTTTCAAACTTTCCAGGTTTCCAATCTCCTCACTTCTGAGGTTTAGTAATTTTTCTTTCTGCCGTCCTATCATAGTTTTTATCTTTTAAAAATTTCTGGCTGCTTGTTTGGAAATATTAGTTACAGCTTCCAGGCAATTCTTCACCGTCCGTAGACTCTACTGTCTGTTTCCTTATTGCAGTGTGTACAGGATTTGACGAGTCCTTTCCTATTACGTGCCGTAGAAGCTCGTTCCCCTGCGGAGCTTTTCTAACTCCCGAACTCCCGACGTCACGGTTATGTTGTTTTCCAGTGGGTCACCCCTGCCCAGCCCCGCCCTTTTTGATGCCCCCCACTCTTCGCTGGACCACCTCTTTCATTGGCGCTGATTTTCCTTGTTGGGCTCAGTTTGGATTCTCCTCCCATAGAGTCTCCGCAATATTGGGGCTTGTCCTGGAGTGCCCTGAGGGTTCTGAGGGGCCAGACTGCTCCAGGAACAGAGACAGCCGATTGAAAAGATGAGCCCACACCTGAGGAAACTGGCCCAGGAAGACCAGCGCTGAGACGGAGCCCAATAAAGCTATTGAATTTTTTTTAAGAGAAGAAAAAAAGAAAAATAGGCCCTGGCCAGGTAGCTCAGTTGGTTGGAACATTGTCCTAATACACCAAGGTTGCAGGTTCAACCTCAGGTCAGGGCACATACAAGAATCAACCAATGAATGCATAAATAAGTGGAACAGCAAATCAAATGAATGTTTCTCTCTCTCTCAAATGAATAAACACAAAAGAAAGAAAGAAAATATCCTTGGCATCCAGGCAGAAAGTCTTTTTATCCATGACGGCAAGAATAGTGCCAATTAAAACAGAAGACACAAAGGAATATACTGAATATACTGAAGGAAAGAAGTGTGTTTTATACCCAGTCAAGATGACACCCAGTGGCAAAGCTACACCTTTTTTGAAACTTGGAGAATTGCCCTTAGGATCTTCTTGAGGAGCCGACTAAAGAGATGTCACCATGAGGGTGACGGATGTCACCAAGGTGACAGGGAGTGTCACAGGGGGAGAGAGGATGACAGCGGGGACTCCCCAGCAGAAGTCTATACTGCCGTCTCGCCTGAATGAAACAAACCCTCGCCTGAGTCTGGTCAAGCCTCTGGAGTTCGCTTCCAGTTTATGAGGAATACAGAGCAAACTCCCAGTCACAAGATAAGAAAGTCCTAGAAGTAATTCACTAATGACTGCAGTCAACAAGGCTGTAGGATGTGTAGGAAAGTGGTTAAGAGAGTAACTAACTCCTAAGAGCTCTCATCAGCAGGAAAAAAACTTTTTTTCTTTTCTTTGTATCTCTATTCGGTGGTGGGAATCTTTCAGGATCAAGGGGAAATCCAGGCACTGGCACGTCCCCTGGTGTGTCTGCGTGTGTGTCACGCAGCTTGTATCTCCCGGCTGGTCTGCGAGCTGGCACCTGTAACCACCCTTCAGACCTTTTTTTTTTTTTTTTGCCAGGACAGGGGAAACACAGTCCAGACCCGTGAATGTGGTGCTGCTTGTCCTGCGCCTCCCAGGCCAACCCACGCTCCTCTGGGGAGACTGTGTATTTTCCGATGCTCCTGTGTATTTGCAAGTTACTTGTGCCTTCAAATGCTGCTCTTCCACACCTACTCGTTTACGTAATACCTACGTTCCCTCTTCAATTCCTGGGCTAAAATCATGGACATTCTGCCCCAGCAGATGTCCTATGAAGCCTGCCCTGAGAATGACTGGTATGTATGAAGTCTTGACCATACATTTTTGAAAAGCCAAAATGTAATGTGTGCCAAGTCTGATTTACCTCGACATCAAGAAAGTACTGTTTTCAAGTCCAACAGAGAGAAGAGAAGCCTTTCATGCCTCCCTCTCACCCAGAGGTCTTCCCCGGAGCCAGTCTAGACCAAGTCCCAAAACGGTCACAAAGGACACCTAAGGAATTTCTTCAACCCCACTGGTCACCAACAGCCTCGCAAACAGACTGCAGCCCCAGAGCGAATTAGCCACGAGGAGCGTCCCTGTGCAGTGTCTCCTTATGTCCACCCCACAACCGCAGAAGGCATCTCGCCCCAGTGTCTGTGAGAGCAGAGTGAGATGTTGAGAATCAGACTCCGGGGTCAGACTGTCTGCGTGTGAATCAGCTGAACCTGCTCCCCCAGCTCTTGAACACCCGAGTAAGTGAAAAAGTGGCCTTGGACATGATCCTTCTGTGCCTCAATTTCCTCATACACAAAACAAGACTAAATTGTTGGGGAGATGTAGGGTGCTCCTGCAGATTTAGGGAGCTGAGTCATCAGACACGGTGGCCTTTGTCCTGCGGTTGAGGAGTGGTGGGGGAATCGGGCAGAAATTGTTCCAAGGAACGACCCGTTCTCCCCAGCAAGGCCTTGCAGGGCTGTGATGGGCCAGCCCGAGGGGCGGGTTAGGAGGACCCACCTCTGCAGCGGGGCTGCTCCCCCGTCCAGGTGCCGTTGGGAAGGCACACCACGCTGCTAGGCCCAACCAGCTGGAACCCAGGGTCGCAGGTAAAATGAACTTCGTGATCCACTAAGTACTTGCTTCCAAACTTTCTGCCATCTGGAGGGGCGTTCAGAGCAGGGCAGGAAACTATAAGGAGAAAAGAAAGGACCATAGCGGTTTAGGCAGCTCTCTCAGTGACCCGGCTTCTCATCCTCAGGTGCCTCTCTGCGGAGGGCCTACTCCAGGCTACACGCCAGGCTGGACATAATAAATGTCACGTCTCATTAAATCCTCAGAGCATGCTCATCATGGGTGATAACTGCCCACTCTGTGAAAGATGAGGAGACCGTGGCTCAGGGACACCGAGTGCTGTTTGTCGGCCTCACTACGCAGGGGGTCAGGGTGGGACTCCCCACAGCTGTGCTGACGCCTGACACTCTCGGAGCTTGGGGCTGCGTTCAGCCCCACAGGTCAGCCAGACCCCAGGGTTCAGCCAGACCCCAGGTCTTGGCTTCTACTCTTCTCTCTGACTGGAATGTTCTTTCCCCAGAAAGTCCCATCTCTGGCTCCTTCCCACTCACATGGGTCTCCGCCTGAATGCAAGCCCCTCCCAGAGTGTTCTCTGCCCACGCGCTCTGCCGAAACCTCCCAGGGTACCTGCTGTGCCATGAGCGCCCTTTGCTTCCTTCCTAGATTTGTGACCCCTGGAAGCATCTTATCACCATGTTTGTTTCCACATGTTGTCCGTCTTCTCTCCAGGATGCAGCTCAAGGGGGGACTATGCCTGGCCTGAGTCCCTGCCGCTCGCCCAGCCCAGTCCAGCACCTGCCCCATAGTGAGCACCCTGTGAATGATCCTTGAACACCCGAGTAAGTGAAAAAGTACCTATTGTGTTCTAACTATGTGCCAGGCACTGTATCAGGCACTTGGGCTAATCAGTGAACAAAACAGACCAATCCCTGCTCTCAGAAGCCCTTTCTAGCAGCGGAGAGGCCATAGATAACCGGGATCCAAGTGCAAAAGGCAGAGCGAGGTAAGAGGTGATAATCGTCATGTGGAAAACAGAGCAGGGAATAGTGCTGGGCTGCACAGTGAGGGCGGGGTCGTGAGCGAGGGGTCAGGGGAGGCCTCACTGGAGCCGAAAGAGGAAGATGGTGGAGGCACAACCACGCGGAACCCAGGAGGACAGAGGGGACAAGCCGGTGCCTGGCGGGTACGAGGAATGTAAGGGGGACCGATGTCAAGGGGGAAAGGACTGCAGTCTTTTTGGGGTGAGAAATCTTTAAAATGGTCAAAAAAAAAAAAGGGAAACCACCCGCTGGAGTAACTCACATACCTGCACAGACAGAACAGTGCCCGGCACACAGTCGGTGCTCAACAAATGGTAGTTCAAGGAAAGAATGAATATACATAATTAAAAATCAATTTGCAGCCCTGGCCAGTGTGGCTCAGTTGGTTGGAGCATCATCCCGTAAACTGAAAGGTCACAGGTTCGATTCCTGGTGAGAGAACATGACCAGGTTGAGAGTTCAGTCCCGACTTGGGGCGAGGACCAGAGGCAACACTAGTTTGTCTCTCATATCGATGTTCCTCTCCCTCCTTTCCCTTCTCTTTAAAATCAATAAGTATGCCCTGGGGTGAGGATAAAAATTAATTAGTTAATTAGTTAGTTCTTTAAAAATGTAAAAATCAGTTTGCAGTCACTTCCCAAGTGGGAGCCAAAACCCTCCATCCAGTGGACGGTGCACCCTGTGGACGCTGCGCCCCACAGCTGGTCGTTTCACTACAAACAAACACATCCCAGAGAGTCTGGGGGCCCCAGAGAAGCCCCTACACCTTCTGGCAATGAGGTTGATGGATGAGAAATAAGCTCAGCAGAGAGCTGCTCTGGCGATGGGAAGTGAATGAAACGCCCCCAGGAAAGAAAAGCTGGGAAAACAGCAGGGAGACCCTTAGCACAGAAGCTAAAAGAGAAAGGCCTGGCATTCTGCTGAACTGGAAATTATTCTTCCTGAGTCTCAGAAAATGCTCTTTAAAAAAAAAAGCAAAAACGAATTTCCCACTACCTGCAATTTGACCTGGGGCGAGCTTCTGGCTCCTGTGACCCAGGTGCAGTCACCCCACCCTGCAGTGGGGGTCTCGGCAGCTGCTGGCCCCCATGTCCAACGCACGGGACAGACAGAATGAATGGTGGCATTTTTTAAAAAAGAGAACTGACCACCTAAAAATTTCTTCAAGTAAGAAAGACCCTGAATCTGAAGACAAAAGGATTAGTAATTTAACAGTATACCTTTCTCTCTGTAGTTCTCAATGGAGCCCTCTAATGTAGGCTGGTGGGATTTTTAAAAAACATTTTATTCATTTATTTTTGGAGAGAAGGGAAGGGAGGGAGAAAGAGAAGGAGAGAAACACTGATATGGGAGAGAAACATCGATCAGTTGCCTCTCGCACACACCCCTTCCAGGGCCCTGGCCTGCCACCCAGGCATGTGCCCTGACCAGGAACCCAACTGGCAATCTTTTGGTTTGTGGGACAACACACCAGTCAGGGCCAGGTGAGTGGTTTCATAAATTATCTGCTGCAGGTTCTTTGAAACTCCCCACAGCTGCAGGCAGCTCTGATCCCACGAACACAGAAAGGATCTGTGGGGTTGGGCCTGCAGCGGGAGAAAAAGTCACTAGATCTGGGACCTGCTCCTGCTAACTCACTTCTTTTGGCCTTGGTTTTCCATCTGCGGGATGAAAGGGTAGGCGCCCTAGCTTGCCTCCCAGTGTCTGGCTATACTAAGTCCCCACCCCCAAGGTGCCCACAGCACCTGAAAAAGTGTCAGGGGCCTGGCTAACAGGTCTGGCTGTGCACCGGGGAAGCTGGGGAAATCAGGAGTTGACTCAGAGCTGTTGAGACTCTGGATCGGACACCATCATCTCTGAGAAGGTATGAAATCCAGCACCTTCCCTGGGAAACTTCATCTCACACAACTAAGAAGGTCCTTGATAATTCATATTAAGTGTGTGAATGATGTCAGATACGACATAGACTCACACCTCTCCGCCCCCAACCTGAGGCCCCATCAACCTGAGGAGAGACCAGAGGACATCCCGACACCTACTTCTGGGCCTTGGCAACTCGAAAGCCATCACTGGGACAAGCAGGAGAACACCCAGTGTCGGTCAGAGCCACCCCCTACAACCTCGCCAGGCAGACGGACCTGTGCTCAGCCCCGCCCCACCTGCACCACTGGGAGACCCCCCCTTGGAGGGCTAGTCTTCGTGCCCGCACAAAGTGCAGCCAGCGTTGGTTCATGGATGGCACCAGGCGCTCCATCCTGGTGTAGACGGTGGTGATGGGGACATTGTGTGCGTTCAGGGAGGGCATGTGTGGGAACTCTCTGTGCTTGCCACTCAGTTTTCCTGTGCACTTAACAGTCTTCTAAGAGTTAGTGCTAAAATTTTAAAACTTCACACTGAAGACAACTGGAATCTACCTGGGTGGGGACGGGGAAGGGAAAAGTTCTCACTGTAAAAGTGGTGCTTTTTGAGGATCCTGCGAACATAATAGATAGACGTGAGTACTGTGAAGCCTAGAATGAAAAGCTCTAAGAGGAAACCAGTGACATTCAGACAGGAAGGAGTTTGGCAGGAAACAGCAGATGAGAAAGGGAGAGGCCTAGGAATCCACTGTTAGACACGGTGAAGAGTGATACGTGGGGATTCGAGAGAACCGGGAGGTGAAGGGCCTAAGTGTCTTGTGCCCAGTGATGCCAACCAGGGGACCCACCTGGGGGGCCGTCCAGACCCACTCTGTTTGCAGAGCTCTGCAGTGCGGCCAGCCGGCTCCTCACGTTGCGGAGGCCCTCGCTGAAGCGGGTCTCCTGAACCTTCAGCAGCTGCTGCAACTGGCGGATGGCCATGAGGACCTGCTGCTTGTTGAGGCAGTTCTGGGGACAGAAAGATCACCACCACCCACTACGGCTGGTTCACTTGCTCTGGGCTTCCAGAAGCCACCCAGAGCCCTGGCCCAAAGGATGATATGAAGGTGGCCTCATGGGTGTCCTCCCCTGTCCATGGTTCCTGCCGGACCAAATGACACCCAACCACATGTATCACAGCCCCCATTCACCCTTCGACAGAAGAAAAGCTCCTATCTTCAGAGCAAAGGGCAAAACTGATGATGTTATGTGATTGGGTGGGTGGATGACGATGTGTACCCAAAGTGCCTTCTAATCAGTAGCCTTTACTCCAAGACTTCCCCAGCTCTTCCCTCTAAATTAATGCTCTGAACACGGGCCTCTGTGAACTTTTTCTTTCTTTCTCCCTCGGACTTTTTAAAACCAGTGGGTGATACAGCCTATAAAACAGGAAATCAGGAATACTCCGTGGTTCACATACTTAAAAAATGTAACAGGGCAAATAAGAAACTCGATAGAGTTAAAGAAGCATTTGACAAAAGTCAACACCCAGCCCTGATAGTATTTTAAAAGCTTTAAAAAAAAGAACAGAATAAGGAGGCTCGTGCTGCTCATGATACCGACGAACTTGAAGCAACACCCAGCATCATTCTTAGTGACAGAAGCTTCAAGGTTCCTAATCTCAGTTGTCTGCAAGAGCAGGGGACCTGAGCGGCTGGGGGGAGGTACCGCGGTGAATACAGTGGGGTGGAGGATAGATAGGACCTCAGCCTTGGGGCTCACCTTGGGGCTGTGTGTTACCTCAGCATGGCCTGGTCTGACCTGACTCATTACCTGCACAGAAAAAGGAAAACATTAAGAAGATAATGACAGTTTTCTGCAGTGAAAGGATTCTAGATCATTTTTCATAATTATTTTCTAAAAGGAGTATTAGTTTTACAATTTTTTTTTTCTGAAAGGGCATCAGGGCAGCGGGAGTCACGGGGCCTCCGGCCTGGCCACCAGGGTGGAAACAGAGTCACCACTGCTCTCCCAGGGAGGCTGCCAGGCCGCTGCACCTTGGAGAGTTCACCAAACAGATGACTCATCAGGCTGATTCAATGGGCGCTTTTGACAAAGCTGAATCCCCAGTTGCCCCTGGAACTCGTTAACCCATGGGGAATCCTTGGCTCCCTCTGCCCTGACCAGGGCCTGACAGGGCCTGGCCCCTAAGCAGCTGCTGGGAAGAGGAGCTGTGTTCGTTCCCTTCTTCCTCCCCCACGTGCCCTTCCCACTCTGGCCTGGGGCACCTGGCCAGTGGCCTCCTGCGGCCCCTACCTGCCCAGCACTGCACAGTCATCCCACCCTGTCCTGGTTTCCCACACCCACGTCCTCTTCCTTAGAAAAGAGCTGCTTTATAGATAGCTTCATGGCTCTGTGTGAGTTACATTTGTGAAGTTCACCATTTACAAAGCTGTTGGCCACCTCAAAGAGTACTACTGGCTGGAACCCCATGAGGAAGGCTTGGGATTGCGTCTTTCACAGGTGAAGACAGAGAGGCTGGGTGTCAAACAGCTTTCCCCAGGTCATGGGGTTTAGGAGCAGTGGAGCCAGGCTGGGAACCCCACTGGCTCCCACCCCTCGCCACCCTGAGCCGTCAGAGACCCTCTGTACTGTCTTGTGCCCTGTCTCATTTGTTCCCGGTAGGCTCCTGGGTGGTGAGGGGTCTTCTTGATTCATTTGCTTCAGGGCATGGTAACTCAATGGACCAGGCAAAATACCCCACAGGAGTGAACTTCTAACTCTCGTGCAAATTTCAGGTTGGGTCAAGCAGATGGTGGGGCCAGAAGTGGAGAGGCAGTGAAGTGAAAGGAACATCCCTTCCCAGGCTGAGCCAAACAAGCACCTGCCTCCCTAGCTGGGAGGGGGCTCCCTGGGCCGGAGCTGCACCAGGGACACGGAAGGGCTGTTCTGAAACTGGGGAGAAAAGGTTGGCCCAAGACCTCTGTCGAGAACATGGGGGTGATATGGGGCCCCAGGAAGTAGAGAAAGAAGGGGAGCGTGTGCAAAGGAGAATGGTCCCAGCAGCCAAGTTTGTTCTAACCCCAGTGCTGCTAGGTCTGGGCACAGCTCTCCTCCGAGTCCAGAGACACTTCACAGAGCCCTTCTTAACACCCGCACTGTGGAAACTGGGCACTAGCTGCTTTCCCCTAAGTGCTCATTAGGGGTGAGACTGACTTATTCAGTCGTAATGGAAAACCTTCAGACCAAGAACACAAAGGCAGGGAGAGAGAGGGGGAAGCTGTGGGAGGACTTGCTGAGGGTAGGTTGGGAAGCCCTGGCTCTCTCAGGGATGATGCTAACAGAACATGGTGTGATTGAAGAAGATCCTTGTGAGCCTAGAAGGAAATCTGTGCACAGATGGTCAATTATTTAGGACAAAGGAGCCAAGAATATATAATGGGGGAAGGAGAGGCTCTTCAACCAGTGGTGTCGGGAAAACAGAACAGCCACATGCAAAAGAAGGGAACAGGACCCCTACCTAACACCACACACAGATAGCAACTCAAGCTGGATTAAAAAAACTTTGAATGTAAGATGTGAAACCACGAATCTCCTAGAAGAAAACATAGATAGTAAGCTCCTTAACACTAGTCTTAGTAATGATTTTTTGGATTTGACAGCAAAAGCAAAATAAACAAGTGGGACCATGTCAAACTAGAAAGCTTTTGCACAACAAAGGAAACCATCAACCAACTGAAAGGGCAGCTTACTGCATGGGAGAAAATAATAATATATCAAATAACATATCAGATAAGGGATTAATATTCAAAATGTATAAATAACTCATACGAGTCAACAGCAAACACTCCTATTAAAAATGGGCAGAGGGCATAAATAGACATTTTCCCAAAGAGGACATACAGATAACCACCAGGTACACGAAAAGGTGTGCAGCATCACTGATGAGGGAAATGCAAATCAAAAGCACAATGAGGTATCACCTCACACCTGTCAGAATGGCTCTGGTTAATAAATCAAAGAACAAGTGCTGGCGAGGATATGCACTGTTGGTGGGAAGGCAGACCAGCACAGCCACCGGGGAAAAGCAATTCCGCTTTTGGGTATTAATCTGAAGAAAATGAAAGCACGAATTCAAAAAGACATATACACTCCTATGATCATTGCAGCATTATTTTCAACAGCCAAGAGACATGGAAACAACCTAAGTGGATGACTGGAAAAAGATGTGATATATGCAATTCAGCCATAAAAAAGGAAGAAGATCCTGCCCTTTGCAAAATCATGGATAGAGCTTAAGGGTGTTATTCTAAATGAAGTAAGTCAGACAGAGAAAGACAATACTGTATGATCTCACTTACATGTGGAATGTACAAAAAGAAACTGATGGACACGCACGGGGAACAGACGGCTGGCTGCTGGAGGCTGGGGCTGAGGGGCGGCGACAGTAGTGAAGGCAATCAAAAGATGGAAGGCTCCAGTCCCAGAGGTAAGCCCAGGCGACCTAGTGTGCAGCAGGGCGAGTCTAGCCAGCAGTGCTGGGCTGTGTATTGGGAAGCTGCTAAGAGAGTGGATCACAAAGGTTCTTATCACAAGACAAACAAGTGTGTCACTCTGTGAGGCGGTGAATGTGAACCAGACTTACCGTGGTGATCATTTCATGATATGTACACATGTACCGAGTCACTGTTGGACTCCCGAAACTAATCAATGTTGTACGGCAAGCAGAGCTCAGAAAAACTAGAGGAAACGAAAAGAAAGTCCCCACAGGGGGTGGGGGGGAGAAGATTCTTGTGGTTTTGGCGAGCCAGCCCAGAGAAACGGAGAGATTTAGTGCCTGGGGACTTGATTTCCGATGAGTCTCCTGATCCCCAAGTGCTGAGTGGAGTCCTCGGGAGCCGTGCTCAGAGCCTGTCACCTGTCCTCAGAGTCGGGTGCAGGCGTAACTGAATGCATCTGCAGAGCCAGGTGACAAGGCTGGAACCCTCAAGACCAAGTGAGGTGTTCAGGAGGTCTGCACCATGGACACGAATGGGGGGCATGGGGCGGGGACTGAAGATTTGAGTGTGTCCCCTTCTCACATTAAGAAGCTTTATCACATCAGTTGATCATAAAACATCAATTTATCATGTCACTCGACCTCTGCAAAACATCAAAACAAAGAACACAGCCCACGACCAGAGACACCACTGCTAGCTTCTGTTCGGTTTTCACTTTTGGATGGCGGACCCAGAGAGTCATTGTCACACGCTGGTTCAGTCAGCTTTTCCGTTGACACTGGGTTGTGGCATCATTTGACACTGAGAAGCAGAGCAGTTTGTGGGACCTGGGCCTCGATTTCGCTTCTGCTCCCTGTGCTCTTTCCAGCCTGGGGAGGGGGCTCCTGGCTCCCTCCATCTGTCTGCCCACTCACCTTCCCACACTTACCCCGCCTCCTGCTCTGAGCCAGGAGGAGCCCTGCCTGGGAACAAACCATTTCTTTCTTTGCAAATGGAGCCTTCATGAGGTCAGCCAAGGGGATGCAGGGGCCTCCAAGGCTTGGGGACAGGAAGCAAGATGGACCCTCCAGTGTCACCACCTGCAGTTCAGCCTGGCCCTGCCATGGCAAAGCGCTGGCTTTGGGCAGTCCCTTCCCACCTCAGGGGCTCAGGCCCCAGCTCTGATCCACCACAGAATCCACTCTGGTGCAGCTTTCGGAGCTGACCTCCCCCTCAAGCAAAGGCTCCGACCGCTGTGATTGGGTGAAGGTCAAGTCCACACCCAGGAGGGAAGGCCTGTCCCAGAGGCTGAGGAGGCCTGTGTCAGGGGCCCACCTCCACACCCCTCTCGCTGGGGGGCCCTTGAGGGGCCCTCATGTTTAACTTGCTTTAAAAGAGATCCCTTCAGATGGGGGAAGTTTCCATCTCTTCAAAACCCGGTTCCACACCTAGCTTACCCCACAGATGATAAGTAGTGTGAAGTAGTTTCCATTGCTTTGAATTAAAAACTTATCTGAAATGGAACCAAGAAAGGACATTCAGTGAAAGCTTTCCATTTAGATTTACCCTTCCTGTCATCTGACCCTTCAAAGGGACGACACTTGGTCTAACTGGACACCAACAGCAGTGCTTGTGGAGAACACCAGAACCACTGAGAGAGGCAGCACCGGGTCACCCCATCCGGCCCTTCCCATATGGGCGGGGGTGGCAGACGTGGTTCTGGAACACAGGCCAGTGCTGACACCTGGGAGGGAGGGGCTGGTCGTAACGCTCTTGGGAGCAATGAGGCCACAGAACAGCCCTCCATCCGCCTCACACTGCCCCCCGGTGCTTTCTCTCACAGCACCTACTGTGGTGGATCCAACAGAGAGGCCACCCAGCTCACGAGACTCCCCTGTCTCTGGGCCTGGCCAGCACTCAGTGCAGGTGGACCTGCAGGGCCACTTGGCACCCAAGACCCTGCCTGCGGGCCCAGGGGTGGAAGAGACACCCACACCTGGAGGTGTGTTGCCCACCAGACTCGCCCTGCCACCAAGCTGGAACTTGGTGGGCCTGACCCCCTGTCCCATCCAGGCCTCCTGGACTTTCGGGCTCAATTCATACATAAGCTGAAGAACAGACAGTCTGCTCTCAAGGCACCGAAGGAGCGGGCGACGCTCCAGGGCTGCGTGGGTTGCACAGGGTGACAGTTCCGAGCTTTTGTTCTCACATGACCTGGCTCCATGGTCTCCTCACAGTGAGTGTTGGAACAGCGACTCTTTCCAAGAACCACTCCGGTGACAGTAGAGCTCCGTGACCCCTGAAGCGGCCACGGGCGACCCCTGAGACCTGGAGGGGCCGTCTCCTGGGCTGGTT